AAGATTAACATCTAATTGAGACTGTCTTGCATACCTCCCTATATTACATTTTCTATTGCTCCTGCCACAAATTACCACAAACGTATTTTCTGACAATCCTGGAGGTTAGGAGTCCTGAAAGGTGTTGGTGGGCTGCATTTGTTCAGAGGCCCTGGGGGAGAATCTTCCTGTATCCTTTCCTGGTCTAGCTTCTAGAGACTGCCTGCATTCCTTGACTCATGCCCTCTTGCATCATTTAGACACATGCTTCCATTTCACATTTCTTTCTCTTTCTCTGAGTCTTCTGCCTCCCTCTTCCCTTTTTTTGAGTACCCTTATGATTACAGTGGATCCACTTGGATAATCCAGGGTGTTCCGCCCATCTCAAGATACCTGATAACATCTGCCAGGTAAAGTAATATATTCACAGGTTTGGGGAGTAAGATGTTGATGTCTTTATGTCTGGTGGGGGGCATTTTTCCACCTGCCACAATACCTCATTGCTACTCCTGCCTTCACAGAAGCACATATCGCCCTCTCTGAGAGACTGAGTCAGTTTGGACTCTTCCTCCTGGCTCCCCACCCCTCCAGTCTTTCTTCTGGCCTTGTGGTTCCTCTTTTCCATTTCTTTCCCATCTGTTCCTGTCTTTCCAGCTCTTTATTTGTACTTTGTCCTTGTCTGCCAGTACAGCCTTCACACTGGTCTACTCACCTGTAATTCTCCCTGCAGGTATATTAAACTCATCTTGAAGCATACCTGCTTTTTAGTCTGTGCTTGACAATTCCATTATCTGAACAAGGTGCTTGTTTTTCTGTCATCTCTTTATGTTTGCTGGTCCTCAGTCTTTTCCCTTTTCTGCCTGGCTACCTTTAGTTATGTGCCATTCTCTGTACTTGAGAAAGTATCTGTAGGAATAACTGAGCCCTCAGTGGAAGGTTACTTGTGTTTGCTTCTGCCAGGACCCTGGGGATATTCCTGGTCTAAGACCACCTTGCAGGAGGGTCACAGGAGAGATTCCCATGCCTTTTCAGAGGAGGTGTACCTGGGCCTCCAGGCTAAGTGAGGGCTGGTTTACTTCTGGTTTATCTGCTCTTGGGTGGTTGTAGCCCTTTGTGGTCTCTGCTTTGTGTGGGAGTCTCAGTGCTCCACCTTGGCCAGTACTGGACTTTGATTTCTGCTGAGGAGGCCATTAAAGTGAAAGTGCCAGTTTGCCAGAATTGGCTGATGTTTTCAAGGAAAGTGACTTTTCTAGAGCCCATCTCTCTGGTTCCCCTTTTCCTTAGCCTTCCCCTGGTTTTTCCTTGCTCACCCGTAGAAGCATCAGCTTTTCGGAGAACTTAAAAAGTATATATTGCATTCATTGTTGTTTCCATCAGGCTAGTGGGCCTGATAATGGAACCTGCCTTCCCAGATTGCTGGTCCATTTCTCCATGTTGCCCCTGCCACCCCCCATCCCTTCTGGGCTTGGACACAATCTGTAGCACCACCATGATCATGTCAGATTTTTGCTTAAACACATCCTTCCTAGGAGAGCACAGTGACAGTATGAGCTTTAGTCCCTCTTCTCACAAGATGTTAAATTCCACGGTCTGCTGGTGGCTTTGGAAGAAGGAAACCTGATGGGAAGGAAATTTCCTCCATTGACATTTTAGTTCCTGAGGGCTGTTTGTCTGAGCCTGGACATAATTGAGTTTCAGTAGTGGAGGGCAGGAGGCTGGTCATTTTTTTACAGTGCCAGATTATCAGATGGCTAACGAGATCTTTCATTTCTCAGTGCATTGGTCATGTGCCACTCATTGAGAACCCAGCTCTTAGCTCACCAGGAGCCATCTGTGACTGACCTCAGAGGATAGGTACCATAGCCAGGACACAGCAGGGATAAACAGTGTGTGCAACATGCCTGAGGTGACAGCTTGCTGCTGTAGGAAGGGCATCTGGATCTGAATGTCAGGAAGCCCATGTCTAGCCTTCCTCCCACTGTTAGTCAAACCATGTCATCTTCCAGGATGAGAGACAGGTGTTCTTTTCCTATAGGTCCTGCTGTCCTGCAAAGCTGTGACTGACTGTGGGGTTAGTCGGCTCCATTGGCCCTGGCAGCCAACCACTGGGAGCACAGAGAGGATCGGGCTTAGAGGAGACCTCCAGATGGGTTGTCTAGAACCCAAACTACTGACTCTGGTTCTGGTACACTCAGTTATCCAGTGATTTTGATCCTAGCAATAGCCTTTGTTTTTCTAGTCTAATTTCCTCATTTTGCAGGATGAGCAAACAGAGGCCCTAAGATTTTCTTATATTTAAAGAGTAACAGTGATGCTCCAGCCTCACGTGACTTGTTTTAGTAGAAAACAAGGGAAGTGGAGCCAGACTTTGGTCAGTGCGGAGTTGGGAATGTTTACTGTGAGCCTCTGAAGCCACTGTTTGAGGCCACCCACCCAGCCCTTCATGAGGCTCAGCTCCAGCACTGTTGTCCAGCACAGGACAACCGGGGCCTCCTCTGCCCACCTCCAACATACCCTACCCCTCTGTTTTGATCAGAGATCGGCAGAAATCCCTTTTTATTGGTAGGTCAGGGGCTCTGACTTGTATGGAGGGGGATTGAGAAAGTAGGCCCTTGGTGAGCTTTCAATTGGTGTCAGCTTTTTGCCCTGGAGCCTGACCTGGCTGTTGAGACCACAGGCCCTGAATGCATTGCTATTGTCATCCTGAGGCCTGGGCTGGGCCTGACTTGCCCTTGATTCCCAGGCCACCCACCCTCAGCTCTAGCCAGGCCTCTCCACTCTTGCCTTGCTTCCTATTGGACCAACTCTCATTTTTGAATCTAAAATTGTGCACTTTGTACTTGATTTTTGCCCACACTTACCTTCACTTGGCAGCCACTGCTCCCCATGAAGCAACTTCAGAACAACAGAGCCTTACATATTGTCTTTTATGTTATTAAAACAACTTACTAAGAATTATCTAGGAACAAACTTTCTTTGTAATTTACCTCTGTAGTTTTCTTAAAAATTACCCTTGCAGAGCTGTGTGGCAGTTAAATGAAAATAGAGTTGCTCCTGGTATTACTCTTTAATCCTGCAGACCTTTTGGCTTAAAGATAACAGGTAAGGTTCCTCCTGGACCTGAGGCTATTTTCCTAGCTGCAGCTTTTACCTGAATATAAATTGCTTTGTCTGTTTGATGGAGACAATTCTGTTTTCCTGAATTCAATAGGGATAGAAGAACATGAGGATCCTAAATGACAGTGGGCAAAACTCTGTTGGAAAATTTTGAAAGTAATTTCTCTTAAGGATTTGATACTAAAAATGTATAATTTTGGATTTGTCTTTTTTGTGTCTGAACCTTGGAGTTCTTGTTATCCTTGGAGAATTTCTTTTTAGTGCTCCAGGGTCACTGTTTCCCACCCTGCTACACCAGGTTTTATTTTTCTCTTGTTGGTAGTATCAATCAGTTGCCAGCACTTTGAACAGGAACATTTTGCAGAAGGTTTAACTGTAAGAGCCCTTCAAATTTAAGGACTAAGAAAGTAATGTTGATGGTCTGTGGTAGATTCTTGCCAGTGTATGGTTTTGGTTTGTGTGCAATCACCTATAAGCATAAACCTGAAGGGTTTTAGATTGGGAAAGGACCCTAGATTCCCCTCCCACCCCCATTTTCCAGATAAGACACTGAGACTCAAGAGAGGCCATGGCACCCACAAGTCTGCAGGCAAAGGAACAAATATTAGAGCCTTGATGCCTGGTCCCAAGGCGGGTGCTCTTTCCGCTTGTCCATAATATCTCTCTTGTTCCTAGGGTTTCCCCTGCCCCACTCCTGACACCCAACCTGTTCTAGAGGCAGGGAACAGACCTAAGTGCTCAGTCAAACCAAGCTCATGGTTGTCTTTATGCCTTTGTCCTTTCCTTCCTCCTAATCATGCCCATTCTGCCACCATCTACCCATCATCATCAGCTTAGAAAACCGAATGGGTGTCCTACATCCCACACTGGTCTTGCCATCCTCAGAATTCCTGAAGTCATGCTATGTCTTAGCTCTTTGGTTGGCATCACTGTCCAGGTTGAGATAATGGTTTTCATCTTTGTGAGTCCTGACATGATAACTGGTGCTCCAAAATGGGCCTCAAATGAATAATGAGAGATGTAATGTACTAGATGGCACAAAGTAGGCTTGCTTGGCATCTTCTGTTTTGCTTCCAAGCTTTTCAAGTGTTGGTCTTCTCTCCAAGTAGCCAGTATGCTCCAAAGGGAGCTTCCGAGTCTTTCACTGCAGTCCTCAGGAGAGCTCTTGACTGTTGGTGGTAGGCTGCAGCACTGACACATCATTTTCCTGCCATTTGAATAATAGATTCAGTTTTAAATATGTTTGTTTTATTCTGAAGTCTGACTATGTCTTCATGGCCACCTAAAAACCCTGGCTTTTGGGTACCTAGCATTTGGAGAATGAAGAAGTCATGACAGTTGGCTTGTAGAATTTCACACCTGAGTTCTTTGCTGGTTATTTGCAATGACAAGATAGTACGAGTCCTTGGGGAGAAACAAGGCAAATTGTTAGGATGGCTGTGAGAATTGCAGTGGAAGCAGTGCCCCTCCTGGATTAGCTTCATGCAGCCAGAAGACCACTGGTGACATTTTTATTCCAAGATACTTAAAATCACCAGGATGCTGCATTTGATCCTGTTGGACTTCTGGTAACATCTATTGTTCAAGCTATGCAGTAGAGAATTGATGGTAGCAATGAGCCAGTTAAAAGGAGGGAAACAGTTACGCAGATGTTGTGAAGTAAGACAGATTGTGTGTCATTTATAACGCCGGTGTGTGGCTTGCTCATAAAAGAGAATGCCTAACTGGAATTTATCTAGAGCAAATTAAACCATTAAACCTGCTGAAGTGAAAAACAGTGGACATCTGCCAAGGAAAAGCATAATCGCCATTTCAAATGAGTTTCATCTGGGTTTCTTTCTGGAAATGGCAGTGTCTCCTGTGGATAGACTGATCTCTGACTTGTGCTTTTCTACTGTTTTCAGAGCCTGAGCCCTTGTGAAGCCGGCAATGACAAGTCTGAACGGTCGCCATGCTGAGAAAACCATTGACATGCCAAAACCATCAGTCCCCAAAGTGCATGTGCAGAGGTCCGTGTCCCGAGACACCATCGCCATTCACTTCTCGGTATCTGGGGAGGAGGAGGAGGAAGAAGAGGAGGAGTTCAGGGAGTACTTTGAGGAGGGGCTGGACGACCAAAGCATTGTAACAGGGCTTGAAGCCAAGGAAGACCTCTATTTTGAACCCCAGGGCAGCCATGACCCCACAGGCCCTGCTGCCTCATCCATCCTGGCAGATGGACTGTCTGTGTCACAGGCCCCTGCCATTTTGTCCATGTCTGAAAACACTGTAAAACTGCTGGAGTCCATTCCTTCGGCAGCACAAGTATTAAGTACAGTGCCACTGGCTCTGACCCCAGGGTCATCTTCCAGGCCCTTAGCTAGCTCTCCCAGTGTGTCATCCCTTTCTGAGCAGAAAACCAGTTCTTCCTCCCCATTGTCCTCTCCTTCCAAGTCTCCTGTCCTCTCATCCAGTGCCTCATCCTCCACCCTTTCCAGTGCAAAGCCCTTCATGAGCCTGGTGAAGTCCCTGTCAACTGAGGTGGAGCCAAAAGAGTCCCCACAACCCCCTAGACACAGGCACTTGATGAAGACATTAGTCAAATCTCTGTCTACAGACACTTCTAGACAGGAGTCGGACACTGTGTCCTATAAACCACCTGACTCCAAATTGAACTTACACCTGTTCAAGCAGTTCACGCAGCCTCGAAACACAGGTGGAGATTCCAAAACTGCACCTTCTTCCCCGCTGACTTCTCCCTCCGATACTCGCTCCTTTTTTAAAGTGCCCGAAATGGAGGCGAAAATCGAAGACACTAAACGACGCCTTTCAGAAGTCATATATGAGCCTTTTCAGCTCCTTAGTAAAATTATTGGGGAAGAAAGTGGCAGCCATAGGCCCAAAGCCTTATCTTCAAGTGCTTCAGAACTCTCCAACTTGTCTAGCTTGAACGGGCATTTGGAAAGCAATAACAACTACAGCATCAAGGAGGAGGAGTGTGACTCCGAGGGGGATGGCTACAACAGCGATTCCAATGTTCCCAAGAGTGACCACTCAAAGTCCACTGAAGAGCCTGCGAGAGAAGTGGAACTGAAAGGCTCCCAGTCAAGCAGTCTGAAAGATTTAGGTCTGAAGACAAGTTCTCTTGTTCTTGAGAAGTGTTCTTTGTCTGCCTTAGCGAGCAAAGAGGATGAAGAGTTCTGTGAACTGTACACTGAGGACTTCGACCTGGAAGCTGAGAGTGAGGCAAGAGTTGATAAGCCTCCAGATGTCCCTGTCAAGCCAGAGGTGCTCGAGGATGGTGGCATGGTTCTGGACAGTGAGGACGAGGCGGACTTAGCCACCCAGCACACAGAATTACCCGTGAAGACGTTGGGCTTCTTTATAATGTGTGTCTATGCTTACCTCATCCTGCCCCTCCCCTACTACATGAGTGGACTCTTTCTGGGAATTGGCCTTGGATTCATGACTGCAGTTTGCATGATTTGGTTTTTTACATCACCAAGTGCTCATATATATCATAAGTCACATAAAACCCTGCGCCTCTGGAACACGAGATCTCTGGACATCAAAGAACCTGAAATACTAAAGGTAAGTCTCTCCAGCTGCTTGCAAGTACATGTGCTCTCACATACAGCTTTATTGTAGAACTGAATTTTTTTGGCTAATTGTTAAAGGTTTTTGCACCAGGGGTGTCTTTAAGACTTTGCACAGCAAAGAAACTCATCTGGTAACTTCATTCTAGCTCACATTTGCTGATTCACCAGGTAGTTTTTCAAAGATCTCCGTACCTCTAAAAAGCAACGTATAAATCCAGTTCCTATTTAGGTCTCTCCTTAAATTTGCCACAGAATTGCCTCTTGCTGGGAATTTGATATGGCTGAGTCTGTTAGGGTTAAATTATTTTGAGACCCAGGAGTTCAGGTTAAATGCTTATAGAATTGCAAAAGAAAGCCAGGAGGAGGGAATGACAAATTAAGAGCTGTGGCCCTTACTGGCTGTCTTCTCTCATCTGTGCAAAATGGAGAAAGAGATGTCACCTTTCCATGCATGTTAGGTGTCAGGCTTTTGGGCCTCCTGGCAGAACCTGAAATCACCCTTCAGGGTACAGGTCATACATACTCAAATTTCTATTTCTATCAAGTTTCACATATTTAAACTTTGTGGTTATTGTTTATGCTTCATAATATCCACAGTACAATTTTAGTTTATATAGTTTGTAAGTCATATGCACGCATACACACATTTATATTATGTTTTTTACAGCTATGGTATGGAATCAGAAAAGTTTAGAGATCACTGCTGCATAAAAATTGTCTAATTCAACTTCATAATCGCCTATAGGCATTTGATGCTTCCAATTTTACCCGTAAGGAGACTCAGGTTCTGAGAGGTGGTCATTTGTCCACGTTTTCTTGCCATTTAATTAAGTAATAGAGGTAGGACTTGGACCCTAGTATGCCCTCTGCTTTTCCCATCACACCTCTCTGCAGAAAGTTCACACCTGGACCTGCCCTGAGAATCCTTTGCCTTATAGGAAGTGTATGAAAAGAACTTGGTTTTCTTGGAGCGCTTTTTGAACCTTACTAACCTTCGTTTTGAACCTTTAGCTTTAATTCCAAGCTTCTTTGGTTTCTATGTTAAATTAATGGGTTTTTCCTCCCCTCTTTAAATTAGAACACTAAAAATGGCAGCATTATCTCTATTGTGAAAAGACAAGGGGAAGAACTCTTTCAGGGTGCAAAATGCAATTTGTTGTTTTGTATTTCATATTCTTTTTCTTTTCCCTCATTCAATTGAAATGGTCAATGTTTAAAAAACACAGGCAACAAAAAAAATTTAGGACTGGGGCGTGGCTCAAGTGGTATGCAAGTGCAAAGTTCTGAGTTCAAACCTTAGTACCACCAAAAAATTTAAACAAAAAAAAAAAAAAAAGAAGAAAAAGGAAAAAAAAAATCATCTTTATCACCCTTGAGGAAGGAAAGAGGTTAAGTTAGTGATTTGGTGTAAAATCTTAGGTATGTTTGGTTTTTTTTTTTTAAGTTCCACCTGCATGAGAGTGTATATCACATAGGCACCTACTCACCCACTCTTTTTTGATTTAATGGGATCATATATTTTACAACCTGACCTTTTTCTCTTTCACACAGCAGTATGTTATGAGACTGTTTCTTTTTTAAGGAAAGCTGGTGTTGAGTCTTGAGGATGTGACACCCTTAGCTTAGCATTAATATATGAAGCAGAACAAAAGTGGCTCATCATGCATGTGGCCCAGCTTTTTTATAGGGTGGTGCTGTGACTTACACACTCTGAGAAAGGTAGTGCTAACATTAGCAAAGAAAAATGGTGCTTATGTTAATGCCAGTGACCAGTGACTGAATGTGGCACTCAGTTTAACTGGTCTGGGCATTTGCTTGTCTTGGGAAGACTATAATTTTAATCCTGTCAGTGTTTTGGGTTTTTTTGCTTTTTTTGGTGAGGGGTGGAGGACGGGACTGGGGTTGGAACTCAGTGCTTCAGGTGCTACACCATTTGAGCCACTCCCCCAGTTCTTTTTTGTGTTGGGTATTTTCGAGATAGGGTCTCATGAACTATTTCCCCTGACTGGTCTCAAAATGAGATCCTCCTGAGCTTAGCCTTCCAAGCAGCTAAGATTACAGATGTGAGCCACTGGTGCCCAGATCTAGTCAGTCTTTAATGCTGTGCATCAGCAGTTTACCATCTACCCCAAGGATGGCATTGTAATGGATTTTAATATTACTATACTCTGGTTGCTTTGATCAGTGAAATAGTAAAGACAACACTATGATGTTGAGTACCTGCAGTTGGTGAGTTCTGGGTATATTATCTCATTCAACTTGCATCACAGCCCTATTCAGTTAAGGTAGTGCTTATGAAGAAATGGAGACCTGGAGGAGTTAAGTTACTTGCCCATGGTCACACAGTGAGTGACTGGCAGTGCATTGTAGGACTAGCCTTTTATTTTGAGGAAAGTGTCTTAGTTCATTTTCTTTTGCTAATCATACAGTATTACACACTGGGTATGTTGTAAAAAGAAAAGTTTGGCCGGGCGTGGTGGTGGTGCATGCCTGTACATCTAGCATGCAGATGCAGGGGGATCTCAAGTTCAAGGCTAGCATGGGCTACAATAGTGAGACCTTGTCTCAAAAGAAAAAAGGAAGGAGGGAAGGAAGAAAAGAGGTTTATTTTGGTTCCTGGTTCTGGTCCAAGGTTGAGAGGCTACATCCATTGATGGCCTTCTTGCTGGAGTCCAAATCTAGTCTCAACATCATTGGCAGGAGACAGCACCTATGCCAACTCAATTGTGGGGCTCCACCCTGATGACCTTATCTAATCCTAATTGCCTACTGATGACCACAGTCTGAGTACCATAGTCAGATTGTGCTTCCACCCTTTTAAAATCTCACAGTGGAGATTCAACTCCAAGCTGAGTTTTGGAGGGCAAACCATAGTCAAACCATAGCAGAAGGTGTTCCATGGTGCTGGGGATGAATGTGTTTGAATTTCCCTTGTACTTTTAATGCTTTCATAGACTGACACCTATAATCTAAGCAGATTATCTTAACCTGTTTTAATGAATATTCTTCCTGATTGATGTTTCAACAACGCTGACATTTTGGTAATCCTTGTTCATTTTTGGCCTTAACTTGTTTAGAATGGTCTCATTACTAATGAGGAAAAGTACATTTTGGCTCGAGCTGTTTTGTTTGATGTGCAGCGCTGGTTTTAGAAACATGGCTAAATACATTCTCTATTTAGAAACAGGACACTACTGTAGGTCAGGAGGGTATTGTATGTTGCAAGCTAAGGATTTCACATGTAAATGACTCTGGGTTTAATTAATTTTTCTGAGTGGAGACCATACCATTAGGAATCATTTAAAAATATGGCACTTTAAAACATTTGGCAGTATTAAAATTCCATTTAAAACCCAGGTGTGATAAGGAAAAGAAAGTATATTGGAATTTAACTTTGGCCAGCTGTCTTTTTTTTTTTTTTTTGAGGTGCTAGGGATCGAACTCAGGGCCTTATGATTGGTAGGCAAGTACTCTACCACTTGAGCCACATCCCAGTTCCCATCCATCTTCTGTTATATTTTCTTGGACTTGTACTTTGCTTTCTGAATGAGTTAGGTTACAACACTAGCTGTTGTAAAACACTAGAAGTTTATTTCTTGCTCATATTCCTTGGTGGGTGTTCCAGGTAGGTGAGTGGCCCCTACATATGGTGATTCAGGGGCCTATGCTCTTGCTGTGTTGTGGCTCTACCCCGGGCTCAGCAGCTTTTTCTTAAAGGTTCAGATAGAACAGAATTGTAGGCTTGTGGTCATATAGTCTCATTACTCTGCATTTTAGCAGGAAGTGAGCTATACATAATAGGTAAATGAATGAATATGGCTGCTTCCAAGTAACATTTGATAGAAACAGGCCTAGTTTGTCCATCCCTACACTCGGCATCAGAGTTCTTTCAGCTTGTCCTTTGAGAGAAAGAGAAAGCAAAGAGAAGGCATACCTACTTGAATGCCTGGGCCTAGAAGTGACACCATCACTTCCACTTACAGTCCACATCCTGGGTGAACTAGTTATATGGGCTTCAAATGTAAGAGACTGAAGAAATCTAGTACTTAGCTGGGCAGCTTCTTCTCAGTGATAGCCCTGCACTAGAGAAAAGGGTGTCCAAATGTTAGAGGCACAGCTTTCTTCTGTGCCTCACCTTCATTCTTCTTTCTGGAGACATAGTTCTCTTTACTGTCTTGTCTTCCACGATGCACTGTAAGCTTCACGAATGCTTGTCCTTGTATCCTCACACCTGCTATGTATTAGACATGTGATACATAATTGTTGAATGAATGAAAATTTAGTCAATGAGTTAGTATTGACGTTGTTACGCCTGATAAAGTTGCTTTTTTTCTTTTTGGCTCAACTAGGGTTTGAACTTCATGCTTGCGAAGCAGGTACTCTACCACTGCAGCCCTCAAGTTGCCTTTTAAAAGAAATCCCTAATACCTGCTTTTTAAAAGCTGTCTGGGGTTATGTAAGTGATCTTTTAATATGAAAAATAGGGCTGGGAGGGAGTGACTCAAGTGGTAGAGTTTGAGTTCCTGAGTTCAAACCCCAATACCACCAAAAACAAAAAAAAGATGAGAAATAATTACTGTCTAGAGATGTGGCTCAAGGGTTCCATAGAACGCCTGCCTAGCAAGCATGAGGTCTTGAGTTCAAACCCCAGTACTGCCAAAAAAAGAAAAATAATTACTAAAAAGTACAGGTTTTAGAGGACTTTTTTTTTTCTTTTCCCACTGAAGTAGGCAGTGATCCATCTTTGACAGAATTTGAAACCTGATGTTTCTTGCTTAGAAACCACAAGTCTGCTCTCTCACTGGTGCTCATACAGTGCTGCCCTCCTGGACTCAGAGGGCTTAGGAGAATGGTGGATACTTGGTAGAGGGTTAGACAAGTAGGCATGATGGTGAGTTTTGGATTTTTACTCTGCCTCTGGGGTTGTGATAAAAAGTGATGCAGGAGATGGGCTGTGGCTTCTTTATAAAACAGGTCTGTGCTATGGCTTGG